ATGTATATGTATATATATATATATATATATATATATAGTTGTTAATGTTTAACATACATCTGAAGAAACTATCAAATACTCATTTAACATATTATGTTCCCCATAAATTGTTATGTGGGTCATTACATGGCTGTAGTTTTCCCTTTTTTGAGATACATTTGTCTACAATATGTGGTTGCTTTCTAAAAATTGTTAATACCTGTACTGCACATGTGATGTTAACTGAAAACTCTGTGTAAGCAAACAAGAGAATTGTTTGACAGATCTAATTAAAAAGTTCCTGGGTAGGTGGCTTCAAACATAGGTGTTGTTAGATTCACTGTCCATTTGTCACCTTTCGTGTTGCTCTCCTGACTTCAAGCACTGTTTGCGACAGCTCTAGTTTGGTGTTTCCACCTTCTGATTCATGGGAAAGAGTACATTTTCCCTTTCTAATGGTTAAACAGCTCTAAATAGGGTCCCATCAGTTCTGACACAGACCTCATACCCATCCCTGAAATCAGGGACCACAGGCATATGGAATTCACTTTGTCTATGTCTGGGCCATGTGGCCGTACTTGGACCCATGTGTGAAGTAGATCCTCTCAGAACATACGGTGGTACTTATGGAAGATAAATTTGTTTTTACAGTAAAGGGTAGTAGGTTGTTGAGAGTAGAACTAAAAAAGTATCTACCTGTATACCTGAATTTTCCAGCCTTTCCAGATATCAGAACCCAGTGTGAGTAGACAGCAATAACAGGTACAGGGAACCGTGTTATAAAGGGAAGGTAAAAGGCTATGTACATAGTTCAGGTAATGATACGAAGCAAGCCAATGTAATGAGTCCTGTATGACTTAGGGGGTATTTTTGTAAGTCTTTCCTCATCTTTGTATATTTATCTTCCTCTAAATTATCTGTCAGTTGGATTTACTTTGCAATTCTTTGTGATTAATTGGATTTCTACCTCCTCAGGCATCCAAGTCAAGAAGGCATCGTCAAGTCAAACTTGACTCTTCTGACTCTGACTCTGCATCTGGTCAAGGACAAACCAAAGCAATCAAGAAGAAAAGAGCCAAGCCAGCGGTGAAGTCAGCAGGAAGGAAGGTGTCTTCCAGGAGCAAAGGTATCTTTTAAGGTCTTACTAAGACCCAGAAGGGAGTTCAGATCTTATTTACAGGTTTCCTTTACCTTTATTTTTTTTACTAGGAAGGATTATAGACTTACTCGAGAACATCAGGAGATTAAAATTAAACAAATTAATTTCTTAGATTTTGGGGATCTTGTTGCTGAAAAAGGCCCTTGGAGTTAAATGTGTTATTTCATAGATGATGAATGTAGGCCCATTCAGATTAAATGCCTTGTTAGAAGTACTACAATATAGACAGACAGTTCTAGAATCAGTCTAGAATTATCTAGTGCGTACTTTTATTAGTAATTTTATGTGTGAATCAAACCTTTTTTTTTTGTACCAGGGATCGAACTCCAGTCCTTGTGCTTGTAAGGCAGGCCCTGGAACCACCAAGCTAAATCCCCGGCCCTGAATCAAACTTTTTGTGTCGAATAAGCTAATAAGTTAATGCATTCCATAAACCCTATTTTTCTTTAGGTGTATTAATTAAGCTCTTGTTGCTTTTCTTTGAAATAGCCTATTGGTAAAATTACCTTTGCTATTTGGTTCTTAGACGATTTATTTTAATACCCCTTTTTTAAAAAATTGCATGAATACTATTCACCATACATAAAATTAGAATTTTATTACCAGGCTTAGGGAAGAAAGAGCATTAGAATCATTAGTAAACATTTAATGTTTAATGCAAACACTTTCCTAGTGAAATTAGGAACACTTCACAGACCTCAAGAATGTGTAAAGATAATTTACAGCCTTTTAACATGTTTCCCCCATGTATTGAAGAAGTAGAGGGTAATTAACATTAAATACCTTTAATTTACTTCAGCTACAATTAAGTGTAATGGTACTTGCTTAAAGCACACTGAAAGTTCAGAGGAGATACCATATGTGTTAAGGGCAACCAAGAGATATTTAAGAGGAAGAATTTTTGACTTTTTATTGTTATGGAAGGAATCAGTAAGTGACCCACAGAGAGGCAACAGAATGGAAGTAAAATAACAAGAAGTTTTATTTGTTCGCAAAGGTCAGTCCCTGCCCATCATAGAGGGTTTTACAGCCTTGATCTCATTCGGGTGGCTAGGTTTCATTTTCACAGTTCACATTGTTGATATACAAATCATGGTGGCAGACAGATGTGTAGCACTCCTTTGTTGTGGGAGTTTATGTAGCACTTTTTGTTAGGGGAGGTTACCTTTGAAATTCATCTAGTTATCCTAGCCCAGGGGAAGGAGGCATGTCTGATCAGCAAGGTTAATGATGGTTCTTTACAATCTTGTGGTTTACAAAACTTTTGAGTGAGACTAGATGCCCCCAGTGTGTGTTGATTAAACAAAGCAACCTGTTAGGGAATGCCAGAAGTCATGTACATTGTGACATTTTGCAGGTATTTTTGTTAAAAAGGTTTCTCTGTCGTTATAAAGCTAGCATATAGTGTGAAGAGTGTTGTTAGACCAAACTCACTATAAATATTAGGAAAAAATCCTACATTAAATGTATCACAAGGGAATCTGAGATATAAAAGCCCTTGCCAGAATGCCCTGATCCTGGGGGGCAAGCAGGGTGCAATTCTTTGGAATCTCTTAATAGGACTTATGTAAAAAAGACTGGGGGGAAATAGAATTAATTTTAATAGTTACTAACAAAGACTCTTGATAAAGCATTTATGATTTATTAAAAATCCTCTAGCTTGGAGGGTCTTCAGACTGTTTTTGTTAAGGGCAAGAAACAAATATATTAGGCTTTGTGAGTCATGTAATTTGTGTTTCAACTGCTCAGCTGCCTTTGACAATACGAAAACAAATGAGTATGGCTGTGTTCCAATAAAAGTATTATAAAAACAGGGCCACAGCTCATCAACTCCTGTCGTAGATAAATAGAAAGTTATTTCTTTAATATGTCATTTTCTTTCTTTCATTCATTCATTCATTCATTCATTTATTTTTCCGGACTGGGTATTGAACTCAGGACCTTATACTTGTGAGGCAGGTGTGGCACCACTGAGCTAAAATCCCCGGGCTAATCTAATTTTTAAAGTTTGTGTGCACCTGTTAGACCATAAGGCACTTAAGAGTAGTATGTTAGAAATGTCATAGTTTTATTTGACATTGTTCTTGAAAAGTTAATATAATTAGACAAGAGAGTGAAATGAGATATAATATTAGGAGAGGTCAATGTTTGCATGATTTGGGAATGACAGATTTTACGTTTTCTGAATTATGTATACATTTATTTCATTACTTGTGCAAACATTACAATCCAAAGCAGAAAATTTAGGCACGGCGGTAATAATTCACTCAATTATCTTTGACAGTTTGCTAAACAATTATGTAAAACATAGCTTTGCAATATATTGACTCATTATAAAGTGTTTTAAGTAGGAAGGTAGAATTGATTTTAATAGTTTGTCACATTCATCTGTCTTAAATACTCAAGAGATGTGACAGGGAGTCCTGTGAGGACCCTTTATCCAAGCTCGCTTCTGTTAGCATCAAGCAGGGCAAGGGCAGTGGAGCAAGTATCGGAAATGCTCTGCCACCAGGGTAGGCCCTGGACTAGAGGAGAGCAGGGAGAGATAGGCGGGTAAGATTCTGTAACTGTCTCAAGCTCACTGATGACTTTCCTGGTTTGGGTGACCCAGTGGATGACAGTGTTATTTTGTGAGGCAGGCGCATCTTTTGTTTTTTTTTTGGTACAGGGGATTGAACTCCGGACCTTGCACTTGTAACACAGGTGTTGTGCCACTGAGCTACATCCCCAGTCCAGCAGTGTTATTTTGTAAAGTGCTAGAAAACTGAAGAACTAACTGGCTGTGGATGAATATGACAAATAAAACTTACAACAAATTTGCATTTTTCAGGTACCTGAATAAAATGTGGAGAGAGAAAATTCTGTTTACGTTTTGTACGAGTGTGTAGGTTACATTTGCATATATGTGTATGTTCACGTGAGTGGGGCTTAGAAGAGAGTGTGAGCACTACATTTATAATTCTGTAGCATCAAGACCGAGTCACAGAGAAGATACACAGTGCAGTAGCGGGAACAGGCAAATAACTGGTTTTATAAGAGAAGGGTGCTAACCTCTGCCAAATGCTGTAATGTATCAGTAAAAATTAAGAATTGAGCCAGGGATTTGGCTCGGTGGTTTCGCCACCTGCCTTGCAAGTGCAGGGCCCCAAGTTTGATCCCCAGTACCAAAAAATAAATAAATAAAATAAGAATTGAAAATGGAAGCATTGACCTGGGCGTGGTGGCGCACACCTGTAATCCCAGCACTTGAGAGGCTGAAGCAGGAGGATCGCTCTGAGTTCAAGGCCAGCCAAGACTATATAGTGAAACCCTGCCTCAAAAAAGGGGAGAGGGGGTGGAAGCCTTGAGAGTAGTAGAAAGCAGAGTAGCTGAAGTATAATCAGAAGATAAATAATTGGAGACTTAAGATTAAACTGCTTTTCTCGGAAGGTTGGGAATGGCTGGAAATGAGTTTAAGCTTAGAAAGGTACAGTGTTTCAAGGTGGGAGTGGTATAGGATATTTATATTCCAGTGGCAGCAAACTATGGCATGTGTGCCCCCCAGGATGTTTGTATCATTGAAAGCTCTAAAAGTTTCGCCATCACTGTTACCTTCCAAGAAGAAGGAAACAGCAGGAAAAGCTGCAGAAATGTGGAAAGTGCTGATGATCACAACAGTTTTTTGTTGTTTGTTGTTTGTTGTTGCGTATATCTGCAACCCATTGGAGCTAGCTTAAGCAAAAAGGGAGAATAAGGTTCAGAGGTATCTTTTAAGATCTCCAAACAGATCTCCAAACGTGCCTCTCTGGGAAATGGAAGCAAACCAGAAACGTGAAAATTTCCTGTCACTCTCTCCAGGGCAGCAGGCCTCTCTCTCCTGCTTTCCTTGATACCTCTGTTCCAGTGTGGGTTTCCCTACTTTTCCATGTGCACGTGGATTCTCAACTTACATATGGTTATTCAGACAATCATCAGAGACTAAAATCTCTGAAACCAAAACTTAAACTCTCAGAAGAGATCATCTGATCACCTCCACCTGACTTACGGCCTGATGTAGCAGTCACCTGTGGTCAGGGAAACAGGAAGGGTCATGTGAATGATCTTTAGCAACAAAACACCATTCCTGCAGGCAGATATCTCAGGCCTTCATCCCCATGCTACTTTACTTATTATGAGACAGAGAACACTGTTACTGGGTGAGGGAGTTCTGCTTAGCTTTTATTTCCCTGTGTTTGGAAGCAGGTTTTTCAGAGTGTGATTGAGGCAGTGTCACATAAACTTTTAGTGAAAATAAAGAGGGTTAGAAGCACTGTTTTCAGAAATGGGATATGGATCTCTGCGGGACTTCAGAAATTTCTGTAGGACATTTCAGAGTTTCCAGCTGAGATTAAAGACCAGGACTCTGAAATGATGGATTTTATACCTACAAATACGCTAAAGATAATTATCTGAAAAAAAAAAATAGGAACAAAAAGTTTAGTAAGATAAGTGATGTCACTGTAGACCTTCCAGAAATGATAAGGTTAAGCAAAAATTATGAATAATTTTATTCTAATAAGTTTAATAAAAGGAATAATATTAATTCTTTACAGGCTCTTTCAGAAAATATAAAAGGAATTATTGGCATTATAAGAAAAAAACTAAAGATTGATATCTCTTATGAGTATACATTGCAAAATCCCTTACAATGTATTAGCAAATCAAATAAAAAAATATATTAAAAGGACAGTCTGTTACTAGCCAACCAGGGTTTATCCCAGCAATGTAAGGTCGGCTTAGCATTAGAAAGTAAGGCAATTTCATAGCTCATAAAAGAGTAATAATGTCAATAGATGTGAACAAGATATTTGACAAACTCCAGTATCTCATCATGATGGAAATTCTGAGCAGCTGGATTCGGTGGCGTGCACTTGTAAACACAGCTACTTGGAATACTGAGGCAGAAGGTTTGCAAATTCAAGCCCCACCTGGAGAATTTAGCAAGACCC